ACTCTTGGATAATCTTTGAAGCTTGATTGGGTTGCCAGCCAAGAAACAGTAAAACCTAAGAACCCTATCACAGTTGGGATACTGAATAGCTCCATAAAAATGGCCTTGGAAGTGAGGAAAAGTAAATCATTCAGATTTCATTTTCTTTTCTGGTCTTATAAACTTTGGACATGCTCTATAAAAATTTGAAAAGTTAGGAGAAAAATTTGTCTTGTTTCTGTCTCTACCAGTAATACCACTAGAAATAGTTTGGTGTATACATAACTTCTTCTCAGGGAATCCTTCCACATGTACATATACACACAAAGAAAAGAATGTAAATATGTGAAACATGTGTCTAGAAAAATCTAAATCAGAGAGAGGTGCTGGTTTTTCACTCTTTCTGTCTGGGCTTTCAGTGTGATCTGCTGATAGGCTGTCATAACAGCACGTCTTAGGAATGTGTATTTTGTCTCCATTATATACATGAAAAAGACAAGTTGCCTGGAGCCTTTCCGGCAAGTGCTAATAGTCTAGCGACCCAGGGGGCTTTCTTCAGTGTTCTTTTCCTTTATCCTCTGCCTCTGACATCACCCCTGGGTACTTGCTCTTGGGGCAACCTGTCATCTAGGTCAGGTGGCCCACGTCCCCCACCCCCACCAACCACACAGTTTTCCCTGCTCAACCTCAATGCCTTTCCAGCTGTGTGTCACAGGACAGTAAAGATGGGAATAGCCTGGCTGAGAGGAGAAAGTAGGGCATGGCTGGGATTTGCCAGCATGGAACTTCAGGTCCCAAAGGCTATGTTACCAGTGCAACACTAGGGGTGCTTCCTGTTCCCTACCAAATAAACAGACAAAAAAAAGAACATATATATTCCACATTTTGTGGAAGGTATCCAGGTATATTTTCTTGGGAAAACCTGTCACAGTTCTGAGGAATACACTTCCCTTAGTTGGAGTTTAAGAGGCTTTTCTCTCATGAAATTTACATGTAGATAGTAGAATATATTTGAAGGAGACTATAGGGCAAAAAAAATCTTTTTTTCTGTATTTAGGACAGGGTCTTCAGGGTCTACAGGGTCTCACCATGTAGATCAAACTCGTAGTGGTTCTCCTGTTTTCAGCCTCCCAATTGCTGGGATAACAAGCATGTGCCACCACACCCAGTCTCATTGCAGTCTCAGCACGCCCTGGGGGTGGGACCCACATGGTGCACTGGGGATCCAACCTTGGCCGCTGTGCTCTGCCTAAGCAGGTGCTTTAGTCTGCTGAGCTATCTGGCCGGCCCTTATAGGGCAAAATATTGGTCTGACTCCAAATCACATTTTTTTCTAAGTTTTTAAGTCCTTAAAGAAAACTCTTGATAGATAAAGAGACTATTGATAGGCACCTTTAAAAATAAAGAGTATCTGCTCAGGCCACTGTTTTTGGTTCTTGTCTGAGGGAGGAGAAATAGTAGTTTATTATAATAACATCATTTTGCTTTCAAGGACATTTGAATGTCTACAATTGATGCAATGACTAATTCTTTTTCTTTTACTGGGAAGTTTGTTTCCTTTTCTGTTGCACGATTACTGCCCTTTGGGTGAAGCATCATCTTATCGCCTTAAATGTGTTACCTAGTGTAGTATTTGTTTCTTTTCCGGATTAGGCAATATCACTGTGGTTTCGTATTATCAACACTTACTAAGAGCTTTCCACGTCTTAATCAATATCTTTGCTTGCCTGTCTTCCCCACATATCATTGTCTCTGCCATTTTGCTTTTGCTGAGGTTGCAGTCTTCAGTTGTATGTTAGAAATGCATTTTTCACTTGTACAGTTGGACTGAAAGATCTTTATGTTAAAAAGGCAGTTTCATCGGGTATGGACTCCTAGCCTGACTTCCACAAAGAAAGTTAAGAATTTGGCTCTCATTTTGGGCCTGGGAGATAGCTCAGTAGAATAAGCACTTGCCTGGCAAATGCAAGGGCCTGAGTTCTATCCTCAGTTCAGAAAAAAAAAAAAAAAAAAAAAATTGGGCTATCAGTGTGATTGCTATTCCTTTCCAAGTGACCTGGCTCCATCCTTTGCCTTTTTGTAGGGCATCTCGATCTTCTGTAGTTTTATCACATTTCCTTATACAGTTTATTATGTCAGAGGACTGGTGTCTTCCAATAGTCTCAGAAAATTCTTAGTCATTATCTCTTTGAGTATTGTCTCTTCTTTTTTTTTTTTTCTTCTATCTAAAACTCCAGCTACTCGGGCTACCTTGTCACTCTGCTGCTCACGTCTCTTAGCTTCTTTTTCAGGCTTTCGCTTTCTGTTTGGTCTCTTGGGCTGCACTCTGAATGACTTCATCTTCTACTTCAATCATCCCCTCCAGAGATATTTTTAGTCTATTGCCTGTTCTATTTCTAATTCCAGTAAAATTTAAATATAATCTCCATTTGACAAAATACTTTAGAGTTCTTTCTCAAGACTTGTTTGGGCATTCCTTATCTTTTTAGTCTTATCCAAGCTTCAGCTTGTTTCTTTAAAGCATAATGCACTTGTTTTAGTTCCTTTTCATCATAATTTCCGCATCCCCTCTGCTCTTATGATCTGGTTAGCATGTTTTCTGATAGCTGTCAATCTTGGTGCCTTATTTCATTGGGTGTTCTGTGACTCTTCTGTGCATGCCTCATTTTTCTCAGAATTTCATCCTTATAGGCCTTTGAAGAAAATTTGCATCTGTTGTCACTGAATACCTTGGAGAAATGCCCCAGATAGTCATTTGTAAGTCAACTTTCCACTAGATAGTTTCTGTCATCTGCATAATAGGAAAATGGACAAGCAGCCCTCAAGAGATTGGAATATGATGGTGTGCTCTCTGGAAAGCACTAGCTCTCTCCACTCAGCGTCCTTGCCAACATTCCACCAAGAAGAAGTCAGGCAGGAAAAGCCACATATAGTCCAATTGCACTTACAGAGCAAGTGCAGACTAGGGGACTCCATAGAAATGAAAAGATGAGCATTTGTCATGGCCTGGGGAGAGACGAGATGGGAGAGGGTGACTGCTCAGTGAATGTGGGGTTTCCCTTTGACGTAATGAAGGACTCTGGAGTAGAGGTGAAGTTGGGTGGCATTGTGAATGTACTCAAAGCTGTTGAGTTGTATCCTTTAAAATAGTTAAAAAAGATAAATTCTACATTATGTATATTTTCCCACAATTGTAAAAGCTGTTGATGTCGACAGTTCTCAGTGTTGATGTCGACAGTTCTCAGTGGTTACCAATGGCGAATGGTAACCTAGAGCATTCAGTCCCTTTGTGCCTGACTCTTAGCCCCAGAAATTGGGTCCTCTCAGAGCAGCACATTTTGGTTCGGTGTGGTGGCTCACACCTATAATGCCAGAACTGCAGGGGGCTGAGGCAGGCGGAGTGCAAGTTCATGCCTGGACACAAACAACTTAGCAACTTAGTGAAATTTTATAGCCAAATAAAGAACTTAATAAAGGACTGACTGTATAGCTAATTGCTAAGGCATCTCCAATGCCACAAAAAATTAATACACAAAGAAAGAAGAAAGCAAGAAAAGAGAGAGTTGCTTGCTCTGTCCTGGATCCAAGCTCCTAAGAACAGTGCAAGGAGAAGGACCACTGCTTTGAAAACGATGTCTGGAACTTATATCCTCCGTGCACTGTGTCCTAAATTGTAATATGTGCACATTGATCCTGCACATATTAATTCACATATTTCACCTGAATTACAAAATGGTTATCAGTTTGAAAACCTAGACAGAAAAATTATAATGTCACATTTGTCTCTAACACTGTTTTTGAAGTATTTCATCATTAAATCTGCTCTTTCATGTAAAATCCAAAATGCCCTGGCTTCACCAACTCCCAGGCCCTTCTGTTCCCTAAGCCAGTGACTTTCAAGCCATTGCCTCAGATAGATGGAGAAGCCAATCTTACATTCGCAGTCTCCTTAGGTCTCCAGTGCAACAAGACCCAGTGTCATATGCCGCTGCGTTCACGGACAGCCTCCCAGGACATTTGTTCCCATTGTTTGCTCCACAAACAAGCAAATGGTGTTTCCTGTGATTTGAAAGATGTGTCCACAAGTACCACCAAATGGAATATCAATTTTATCCAATGGTCTGGGTCCCCTGGTGTTCATTGCCAGATGCCACAAGAGCAGTCTGTCACGAGCATATTTTGCTCCCTAGATTGTATAGTTTTTCCCCAGATCATGCCTGGCTTCAAAAGCCACACTGACATTTTTTCATTAAGTGTGGTCTTTGGCTGTGTTCCTTGAAGAAGGTTTAAAAACAGATTCATCTTTTGTTTCAATTTTTTAATATTATGAGTCCATACAATTTGTGGTGCTTAATGATGCTAGGGCCAACACCATCCTGGGGTGTGGCCCGTGTACAGCACATAACGCATCTTGACTTTCTTCATCTTCTTCCCCTCCCATCCTCCCTCCAGCTCCCCTCCCCTTTGCAAAAGATCTACTCACTGTTTCCTGTTATCTTTTATTCTATTCATTAATTTTTTTATGCTTTGGGTTTCTCAAGGTACATCCATTTTCCTACAAATGAATTGGTTTTATCTTTTAAAGGTGAGATTTTTTTATTGAATCTTTTGTACATGTATTTTTTTTTAAATTTAGGACAGGGTCTACAGGGTATACAGGGTTTCACTACATAGATCGGACTCGTAGTGATCCAACCGTTTTCAGCCTCCCAAGCGCTGGGATTACAGGCGCGCGCCATCACGCTGTCCCAATCGCCCACTCTCAATCACCATCTTAGCCCTACCCTGGGGCGGGACTGGCACGGCAGGCCGGGGATGGAACCCCTCTGCCGCTGCACCCTGCCGAAGCAGGCGCTTTAGTCCACTGAGCTATCTAACTGGACCCTGTATTTGTTAAAAGAATGAATTAAACAGTAATTAGCATAAAATAGGTCTTAAAATCCTTTAGAGATCATAGGGAACAGTGTTAGCTACTACAATTCTATGGACTGTATTAACATGTCCCCTGTATCTTCATGTAGGGTGACATCCATTGCTGACAGGCTGAATGTGGAATTTGCTTTAATTCACAAAGAGAGGAAGAAGGCAAATGAAGTGGACCGGATGGTGCTGGTGGGTGACGTGAAGGGCCGCGTGGCCATCCTCGTGGATGACATGGCCGACACATGTGGGACCATCTGCTATGCTGCTGATAAGTATGTGTGATAATCCAGGAGAGTGTGAAGATATCTCCTTAAGAAAGATAAAAGATCCATTTTTAAAGAGCTGAGCCTAGTTTTACTAATTACTACTGATTGTTTGGCAGTGTGCTGTTTTAGAGCAAAACAAATTTGAGGACCTTTTGTTTTTACTGTTCTTTTTCCTGCTAGAAGTGAAACCATGAGCCTCTCCATTTTCCATGTGGAGTTTCAGTATCTTTTTTTCCCTGTATTTAAAGGAAGGGTCTACAGGGTGTTCAGGATCTTACTACCAGATCAGACTCATAGCGATCCGCCTGTTTACAGCCTCCCAAGAGCTGGGATTACAGGCTCGCACCACCACGCCCAGTCTCATTTGCCATCTCAGGGTGTCCCAGGGGTGGGGCCGGCACAGCAGGCCCAGGGATCAAATTCCCAGCCCCTGCACCTGCTTGCAGGTGCTTTAATCCACTGAGCTATTTGGCTGGCCCCAAATTGTCAGTATCTTTTAAAGAGGGAAGAGAAGGTGCTTCCCTGGAAACTCTGCACAGAAGGAAAGTTTTTCAGGCTGTGGCAAACTCGGCATGTTGCCAATCTAACTTGAGATTCAGTGAAGTGTCACCAATAACTTTTGTACTGATTACACATGAAAATGGTAATATTTTGCCTAGCTTGCTTTAAAGCAGTAGTTCTCAGTTGGAGTAGTATCGCTTCCTGGGTGACTTCTGACAATGTCTGGAGACGGCTTTGGATGTGACATCTAAGGGGAGGAGAATGTTGCTAGTGGGCAGAGATCAGGGATGCTGCTAAATTTTCCTATAATGCACTGGACAGCCCCAGTGACAAAAATTATCCAGGCCCAAATGCTGATGTTGATAATCCCTGATTTGGGATTATACTGTGTTTTACTAGCATTCTTGGCCTTGGCTAATAAATGAATACGAAATTCACCTTTTCCTCTGTAAAAATTGCTTTTTGCTACTAATATTGATATTAAAAGAAAGTATTTCCAGAACGTTAGCACACATTTCATTTTGGGTCCCCTGTTTCATAGGCTGCTCTCAGCTGGAGCCAACAAGGTTTATGCTATCCTTACCCATGGGATCTTCTCTGGGCCAGCCATTTCCAGAATCAATAATGCTGCCTTTGAGGCTGTTGTTGTCACAAACACAATTCCACAAGAAGACAAAATGAAACACTGCACCAAGATTCAGGTACGATCTATCCCACAGGCAGAGCCAGACAGCTAGTCACCTGCTATGTATCCCTAAAAATAGTATGTGGGCAACAGAGACTGCCACTTCTCCTCCCAGCAGGGTCTCAGTAGCATCAGATCCCTGAGAAAGGCCAGGCCAGCAGAGATCAATGTGCACTATTTAGAAAAAGCAAATGAATAAAACCCCAAAAGAACAACAGTATGGAACAGGCTGTGTTCGAGTTAAACGGAGAATTAGCACATAACCTACCAGTCCCCACCCTAAGTTCATACCCTCAGAATTTGGAAACATGTTCAAACAAAAGCTTGTGATGAATGAGCATAGACAGCAGTGCTCTTCACAGCAGCCAAAGGATAGGAACATCCAGTGTCCATCAGTAGATGAATAGTTTACCAAAGGGTGGCCTATCGCTACAGTGGAATATTCTTCAGACTCAGTGAAATAAGCCAGCCATGAAAGGAAGAAGGTATATGTTTTACCTGTGTGACCTACTTAGAATAGGATCGTTTATAGAGACACAAAGTAAGACTATGATTACTAGGGCTGGAGGAGGGAAGAATGAGTTATCTCATTTAATGGGAACACTTTCATTAGGAATGATGACAAAGTTTTGTAAATAGATAGTGGTGAAGTTTATGCAACATTAGAAACTCTGTTAAGATCTTCAGAGCTTTATTCCTTGTAAGCCCTCCTGACTGGATCCCCCAGGCCACCCCAGAGCTGGTGGCTGTCACTTGACACCAGGTGGCCTGAAACCACTCAAAAAACATTTGCATCTCCATTTGGCCTACTTCAGTGAACCTTGGCCGTTATTTCAGCCTTCAAAGCCCTGGTGTCCCCCAGCCCAGCACGAAGGTGGTTCACAGTGATGCACTTCTCTCGGGTTTCTAATTCTTCAAAGACAGAAAGATGGTTACTGTGATCCAAATGGTGGTCTCATATCTTCTTGCATGATTACAAGTAGTTCAGGAGTTTAGTAAACACTGGCTCAGGCCAAATGCAGTACCATGTGGTTTTGTAAATAAAATTTTATCAGGCGTCCAGTGTTCAGCCACGCCCAGCCATTTGCATGTTGCCTACACAGCCGCCTTCAGGCTACAGCAGTGCAGATGAGTGTAATGGAAACCCTTACAACTGCAGAGTCAAAAATAGTCCTGGTCCTTTACAGAAAAAGTATTTACTGAATCAGTGTTAGACTATCATGGTTGTGCTCTGAAAGGACACAGTCCCTGCCTTTCCTGAAACAGAGAGAGAAAAGCTTCCACTAAGGCATATGATTAGTTTAAAAGCAACAAAGGTCCTAAGAAAAGGATGTCTCTGGTGAACAGTAGCCCTCAAAAGCCTTTGAGTAGTCACACTTCAAACCTTCCTTCTGGGAGCCCATATGGGTTTGCTTCAGCAGGTTGTAATTTGGAAATAGACCCCAAAGCTACCTGTCTTACCCCAAAAGAAGAGGGTGTGGGAAGACACACAGTGTGTGGTGGCTAAGTCATGTCTAGGCTTTCTGGAGATTTGGGTTTTTAAAGAAATATAACTAATTCCTCCGTTTATGTTTGCTTTTTGGCCTCCAGGTGATTGACATCTCGATGATCTTGGCCGAGGCCATCCGCAGGACACACAATGGGGAATCCGTGTCATACCTGTTCAGCCACGTCCCACTGTGAAAGTGACTGGGAAGTGACAAGTGGTTTCCTCAGGCCTCCCACTTGTTTTTCTCTCTGCTTTTGTAGGGCTAGGACTCAGCAATGATAAGATTAATGGCTGGCAAAAGCATCAGACCTTTGTTCACTCTGAGATTCATTGTTTCCTCTCTTAAACCCAAGACTATTTCTAGATTATTGGGGGATGGTGGTGATTATTTTTTATTTTTTATTTTTTTTAGTGAAATGTCTTAAATGTTCCTATTATCTTGACTTTTTCTCATTGGTGATCTTTTCTTTTTTCTTTTCTTACATCTCTGAGGTGACAACATTCTAATATAAAATCCCACTACAGAAATTCATACTTTATATATTTCAAGGTTACAAAGGTAACTTCAGATTAAGCCTTCTGTGCAAACATATAACCATAATGCCTATGGACATTTGAGAAAAACCCAGTATAACTGTTTACTTTAGAGGGAATCATAAAAAAAATATGATACAATGAATTTTTTTAATGATAGTTGGATTTCAATTAAACTATCCTAGTTATTGTACTTCATCTGAACCAAATTTTATTTATCTTAAAATGGCCACTGATATGTTTATTTTGAGAGAGACATAACTGTCACTTACTTGAAATGCCATATTCTGAAACTCCAAACTTACATTCAGCAATTCTCTGATTCATAAACCACTTTGAGATGGAGCTTCTAAGCTCACTCACACTGGCCCTGTCCTCTGGCCATCCCAAGTGTGCCTTATGCCCTGTTGTCTTATTCTTTCTATCACTTTTTTTTAGCTATGGTCTTTACTTTCCATTGCTTGCAATGACTTTATGTTATAGACTTCCAGCAAAATAGACTTCCCTAAATCCTCTCAAAAGTAGTAGGCTAATCATTATTTTTCTTCTGACAGAAAAGATGAATTTTTTGAGTGTCACCAAGTGCATATTTAAGCATTATTTCATGAGCTTTGATTTGGTTTTCTTTTATCTTTTATAATAAAAAATAGTAGGTCTTTGGCAACTGTTTATCTTAACTGCAGTTGTTACGTGGAAAATGTGAGTAGGAGAGTCCTATGAAAAAGTAAGCAAAGAGTTGTTTCATTAATAGCTCAAGGTGATCCTGAAGGGGAAGCTCACTTAGGATTCTATTAAGATGTCCTTTCAGAGCTTTGTCTTCCTATGTGAAGTGCCTCGCTGCTTGTGGTAAACATATGACCATTTTATTTTGTGGAATTTCTATGAAATGAAAACATAGTCGTAAATGCACATGTAGATGGCTTGACACACGAGTGTGAGCTTAGATACGTTATGACTAAAGCCAGTTGATTTAATCATTTTCACCAAGATATTTAAAGTTTATAGAGCTACTTCTAAAATATAATCTGATTTTTAAAAAATTATTTTAGTGTTCTCAGAATTAACTGATTGTTTCTATCACTGTTTAGCTCTTCTTTTGTATTTTAAAGTAGGGCTGAGTGGAAATGCAGACTTTAACCACTTGATGCTTTTGGGTCAACAAAGACGATGAAGACTGCCAGGCCAATCTTAATCTTTCTCATTCCTTGCTGTTCACAGTGTGGAAACGTCAGTGAGAGTACCAGCTATATCAGTTTGGCGCAGCTACACTGAATGGGGGGTTAGCTGGGATATATCTAGTGCAAACGGGGCAGCCAGAAAACCATGAATATACCAAAGTTGCTTAGCCTCCAACTTAAATTATCAGTCAACCTATAGATGTTTTTATGATGGTAACTTTCCTTTGTTAGATACAATGTCTACTAGATTCAGCAATACTATATATCATTTGCAGTGCCTGCACTGGTTTAGAATGTAGGATTTTAAGATCCTCCAATGCTGTACTAAGACATCTCAATAAAAACATGCTAACTCCTTTCTGTTCTTGTTTGCGTTATCATTTTGGAGTAATATATTTTGGTGGAGGCGTGTGTTTGTGCAGTATGTGAAAATATAACCTGCTTTATGATTATAGCTCAGTTTATAAGATTAAAGGAGTGCCAGAAGTGCATTGAATCAGGCTTTTTCCATTTTGAAGGTTTTACTTCATGAAGGACTTCCTAACAGTCGCCCTTCCCCAAGGCATACCAGCTGTACCACATAAGGCAGCCAGGTTACACAATAAAGGAATGATGGTCAATGGCAATGTACCTAAGCATAGACCAAAAGGTTGTACCTGGGCTTCCATTTCTGAAGCACCAAGAAGGTTCCTGACCCCATAGAAAATCTACCTGTCCAGAGATGTTTTTAATTCAGAGATGCTTTAATTATTAAAAATAAATTTATAATTATGTTCTTCCCATGACACTCAGCCTTGAAGTATGAGTAATGCTGAAAACAGTAACATAATGTGCTAAAGTCATAATGAAAAGAAAGAAAAAGAATGACAACCACGCCTATTTGAGGGAAAAGAGAACATCATACAATGTACTAGAAAGGAACAGAGAGGTGAAGGAGAGGTGGCAGCTAGTCCTATCTCAAAGGTATTTCACTTTCTATGGTAAGTCTTACCTAATCTATCCACTGACCCTCAAGGCTAAGGCCAACTGGAGAAGGGAAAGTTGATTCAGAGTATTCAGTCAGACTAGGGAGAACAGAAAAAATCTTAGTGAAGGTACCACTGTTCCAGATAGTTTGGCAGAACATTCTAGAATCTGATGGCAATGTTCCAGGATGGGCTGAAGCTGGACAACACAGGGTGTTTGGCATATGCTATGTTTGAGGAAGAATAGACAATTCAGATAGGAAGTGGAGGCTCACTCACGCTGCCACACCCTTCATCTGAATGTCACACAGAAAGAAACGAACAGAATCTATCCTATTTACTACTGATGTGCGTCTTTGTCCCCCGGAAACACACCTCTTCACTTTTCTTCTGCCCTTGCTTCCCAATATCACCTTTAGGGTGCTTTGCTTCCTGTGGTTTTGATTTCCAGTTTCTGTTCTGGAAGAACAGAAATGTCATGTACACAGATGCCACAGTCAGAGGTCACCTTGGTTCAGCCAACCAGGTTCCTTTGCTTGCTGCTGACCATATCAGAGGAGGCCACCTGTTTTGGGAAAAAACAAAGGCTTTATTCAAAGCTGGGTCTATGATAGAGGGGTCCATTTGCCTCAAATCATCATCTCACTATAGATAAGTATAGGGTCTTTTCTAGCAAGGAACCAGGTAGTTGGAATACAATGAGACAATACATCTATTCAGGCATGTTTTCTTCCTTCCAGGAAGCAAACGCCCTCCTTACCCTAAGGAAAAGAAATCGGACTAGGGCTCCTGGTACCAGCATCTGCATTTTCTGTTCTTTCCTCTGGTCTAAGCAGAGGTGGGCAGTGGTTTAAACACTAGGCCCAAGAAAGTTTGGAGAAGCCACTTGGGGAAAAATCTAACTTTTAAAATTCTATTTTGAAGTGCTGGTTCCTTGCTCACAAGGACTTCCTAACAATCACCTTTCCCCAAGGCATACCAGCTGTACCACATAAGGCAGCTAGGTTACACATTGAAAGAATGATGGTCAATGTCCATTTACCTAAGCACAGACCAAAAGGTTGTTCCTGGGCTTCCATTTCTGAAGCACCAGGAAGGTGCTTAGTCCCTTGCCTTAGTCCTTTGTTCACTCCGGAGGACTTTGAGGTAGCACATTGTCTGGCTGGCTGTCTCCTGTTGGACTGACACGGAGATGCCATCAAAGGGCAGCTGGAGCGCAAGCAAAGGAATGCTATATGCTTGAGGCTGAAAAGGTATCACTAGAAATTATGAGGTCAAATACAAAAGCAAGCTAAGCTCTGGAGACACCTAACAGTTCCACTTGCTGGAAGGGCTTTTGGCTTTCATCAGATCAGTCTGTGTCATAAAACACATCTTGCCAAATTTGAGCAATATCAAAAGACAGGCTTGTAGGCTGAGTATCTAAAGTCTGTTGTCAAGTCTCATCTTATTTTGTCACTATCCTATAATTTTAGAACTTTGACAAATACTAGTCACAAAGCTTATAAGCAAGTGGAAAGCAAGTTATGAAGAGCAAAGAGAATCCGGTCTGTATAGTAGACTTGAACTAAGAAATGTAGTGACCAAGTTAACTAAAGAAAGCCAGTACAGTATTTCTATGAGACAAGGTTAGTCTTGTGAGGAAGTATATCAAGCAATTACTTGAAGTCTCCTGTTCATGTAAACCAATGTAAATTACCATTAATAAGTATACATAAGTTACTAAAGTTAAGACCAAGAATAACAGCTTAGTAAAACAATTAAGGTTTCTTAGGTATACACATACAGACCTGAAAAATCTTTGAATGTGGTGTTCAAGAAGTAATGTCTATTTTACCAACTAAAATACATTTTTGAGTAAGACTGTCTCTTATGAACTAATAGGGGTGTGGCTTTTGTCGGTTAGATGACTAAAGCAATACAACAGCAATTTAGCAAAAAACTTACTTTTACAGCATATTAAGAGAATAATCATGACTGACTACATTATACTAGTAATATAGATTGGGGATACAGGACCAAGGGCTCCTCTCACCTGAACCTGGACAATGCCCCAGGGACAACACCCCCACCTTTGTCCTAAAGCCTCGTACCCAGATGCAGAGATAAGGAGGACAAAGATCCCTGAGCCCGTTCTAGAAAATTCTGAAATTGCAAACCAGGATGTATGAGTGCCAGATCCTCCTGCATGTCCTGCAACAACCTTTGTTCACTTGGGACTCATTGATGGTTCATGCGTATAGACTGCATCTCATACATCCAATTGTAGCACAGTGAACTATGGGAGGACACAATGAGGAGGGGCAACTGATGTGCCTCAGCACCAGGTCAGTGTTGCTCTCAGTCATGTTCTGTAAGACTCTGTGAAGGATGCCCTAGACCAGGGACAACATTTAAATTCTTAATACATTTAGTGCTTGTGCTATTTTTCTTTCACTGGCATGAGCCTGCACACTCTAAGCACAGTGTCACCTGATCAAACCTATGCTCCTTTTTCATTACCATTGCATGCCTTGTGCAATTCCTTCTTCATCACACATAAGGAACTAGGAACCCCATCACCCACGGTAACACCAGGATAAGTACAAGGTCATTTGAAAGGACCAGTAATGATCCTGGTTTTTCCTTTCTTCTCCTCCCTCTTTCCAAATAAGATTTTTTTTTTTGGTGGTACCAGGGAGTAAACTCAAGACCTTAAGCTTGCCAGGCAAGCACTTATTCCACTGAGCTAACTCCCCAAGCTTGCCAGGCAAGCACTTATTCCACTGAGCTAACTCCCCTGCCCCTAAGAATTCTTATTATTAAAAAAAATAAAGCAAATCACATATAGTAGTTTATGTAACAGAATTGTAAAACAAAACTTCAGATATCTAATATGAACTTCCTAAGACTTATTTTTAAACATTCAAAAGATAACAAAAGGCAGTAGAAAATATGACAAATTATTTTGATGGAGGTAAATCTCCTATTTAAAAATTTTGTTGTAAAATTTAAGCATAAAATTCTGACATTGGGCCAAGGAGATGGCTCAGTAGAATAAGTGCTTCCCTGGCAAGTGCAAGGGTCTGAGTTCAATCCCTGGTTCTGTCAAAAAAAAATTCTGACACTATCCCTATGTGTTATATTTTCTCAGTATTCCATCAACTCCTATGCCCAGAAGCCTTTAAGGACTCAATAAGCTCAAAATTTTTGTTAATTTCCTTTTTGATCCTCAGTCTTTCCTGTAACTTTTGTGAAACTGAAAATACCTTTGGAAGTCCAACACCTAAAATATAACTCTGATTTACCCAGGGTGGAAAAAATGTTAGCAATTTTGAAAGACACTCTCAGTTTGTCTTTTAAACATTTCCTTCGCTCGTGTGGACTCAAAAGCATTTTGATTTCTGCTTTCCTGAATACCGAGTACTCTTTTAAATTGATCTGGCACCACCTAAATGCTATGGAAACACAAGCACACATATATAGACGAGTAATACATGCCTCCCAAGACATAAAGATTTCGCTTTATCATTCACCAGCTTTGAAAAAGGTTAAATTCTAGGGACCACTCTCTTTACAGCCTCAAGCAACACTTGATCCTAAATTTGGTTTCTGAAGGCAGGAATCCTGGTTGTAGCCAGATGACTATAGCCCTCATAGTAGATCGCTTGGTCAATCTGAGGTCAAATTTCCTGGAATTCTTTTTTCCCTAACTTTTGGAGTTTGTCAATGAAAAAAGCTTTTCCCTAGGTTTTAAGACATTTCCTGTTAGACTAAAATTTAAACACATCTGACTAGAGGTTTACACATCTGATCCTGGCTCTCCTACTCAACTTTTAGGGTGAAAAAAATAAACCAGCTTACGTCACATGCCACACCAGCTCTGCCCCCAGGTGTGCTGAGCAGGCCACCAAGACCGGGCATGGTGGTACAAACCTGTAATCCCAGCATTGGGAAGGCTAAAAATAAGATCACTATGAATCTGAGCTGAGTAATGAGGCCCTGTACCAAATACATACTCCTCACAGAGCAAAACACAAGAGCAAGTTATCTTTAGCCAAATTTATTAATGTTCCTAGTTGAGGAGTGAAAGTGACACTGGGGGTACTGGGTACTGTTACTGGGTAATGGTCCTGGGTTACTGTTCTCTTCCCACAGGTCCCTTCCAGATTCTTACGGTCCTGAACAAAGAATTGGACAGGAAACAAAATAACAGAGTTTTACATTTGGTAAAGATATTAAAGGTAGGAAAAGAATGGAGAACAGGTGTTCTGGGGGGGAAGAGAAAGAGAGACAGAGAGAGAGAGAGAGACAGAGAGAGAGAGACAGAGAGATGCAGTGGCCTTCATTTACACCTCCATTCTGATATCAGATCTAGGTCATTCTATCAAAAATCTGCTAGATCTTGTGGCAGAA